GGAGTTGGCATACAACACCATAATTTATACCATCTATCTCTTTCTGGCTCTTGGGCCTCTGGCAAATTGCATGTCTTTGTGTTGGATTAGTTTGGAATTTAATCATGCATTTATGTTCCCTCCAATTAAATTATTTATACATTTGATTAACGTTTTCACTGCTAGAAAGTCAAATTTTCAATGCATCCTCAAATGAAAACATGCCCATTGAATTTCAGCCCAGCTTCATATGGGATCAGTCCTTCTGTTGAATATTAAGAACTTACTGCGTATTAGTCTTCTTAGCTACCTAGGATTTTGGTGAGATAAGAATGTGTGTTTTGTCCATCCAGTCCCAGGAACACGATTTAAAAAGGGGTAAGTTAGTCTGGACTAACCTGTCCCCTTGCTTCAGCTCAGGATTCTGATTATTATCCCTTCCTACTACCTTTTCTTTTCTCTGACACCAAAATGTATCTCCTTATAATTTTACTTTCTCAGGCTTGAGAACCACCGTGACTGAGAAAAGTCATGGGCTCTGCTGAACCACAAAGGAAACTTAGAAGTCATCTGGTTGAGGGTGAGCGAGCTAATGGCCTAAAGGCCGACTGCCTGTTTCTGCACAGCTCATGAGCTAAGAATGGTTTTAGTTTTAAATAATTGGGAAAAGTTTATTTTTAAAGGGTATTTTATGGCACATGAAACTTCCAGTGTCCATAGGTAAGTAGCTGTGCCTATCACTTATGTGATATCTATGGCTTCTCTCCTGAAACAGTGCCAGAAGTAAGTAGCTTCAACAGAGACCTTTTGGCCCAAAAGACCTAAACTATTTACTATTTGGCTTTGTACAGAAAAAGTTTGCTGATATCTGATCTATTTCATCACCCTAATTCAGTGATTTTCAATCTTTTTCATCTCATGGCACATATAAACTAATTACCAAAATTCTGCGGCGCACCAAAAAATGTATTTTCTTCCAATCTGACAAAAAAATAGGCATGATTTTTATTTCATTCGCACCAGATGACTATCATTGCATTGGCTGTTGTCATTTTTTAAATTTGTTAATCTAAGGGAAAGTAGTCAGTTCCCCTGACTAACTAGTCAGGTATTGCATGTTATAAAAATTTTTGCAGCACACTGGTTGAAAAATTGCTGCCCTGATTTTACAGATGAGAATTGTAAAGTCCCAAATAGGTGAATTGAACTGTCTGAACAAACATAGTTCATCAGGAATTGGTCTGGATGCCTCTTCTGTTGTCCACCATGCTCTTCCCATTGTAATAGAAGGTCTGCCCTGACTTGAACCCATGTGAGCACTGACTGCAGAGGCCAAAGCAGCTTTGTGTAAAGTCTATGATCTCTTAGAATTTTAATTTTCACATAAAATCCAGCTCCAGGAAATGTTTCAAGCTTAAAACACATTTGAACAACCTAAACAGATAGAAGGATGTCTCTATATTTCTTTATAGTAATTGATTTTGTCCTTTGGTCAATGTTTGGACTGTAAAGACAAACAAAGTGGACCTGGTCCCTGCTGCCAATGTCATAGAAAACCTCAAGAAAATGCACTTGTAATCTCCATCCAAGTTGGCACTCATGCAGTTTCAGAAAATTACGAAGAGCATGTTAGAGGAACACAGGGCTCCTTTAAGGGGGCTGAAAGGGAAAATTCCCAAGATGCTAATCTTTATGAAAGTAAGGTTGCCTCCACTATCCAGTGCAGGTCCTTCCCCATCACAGTCATATGGAGACAACACTGTAAGTTGTGTTTGCTGATTGACATGGGATTCCCATTACAGGAATTTTCAGGCATTGTTTCAGCTTAGTAGCAGATTCCCAACACCCTTGTAAACACATTGTACAACCTCTCCGTTGTCACCTGTAGTTACTAAAGCCCATCCAGTTTAGCCTTCCAACCTCAGGCCCCTGCTTCAGAGATTTCCGTCCCTTTACAGACCAGACATACACTCCAGGAGCTGGGGGTGTTTGTTTCTGCTCTGTCCCCCACCTTTTCCCTCTCCTTATGGAGTCTAGGTCCTCCAGCATGTTGGAGAGAATAGACAAGAGCCTCTTGCTTCACTGGCCACTGTTGGTGCCTCTCCTGCTGGTCACCCAGTTCCCCTGAGTAATGTCAGTTAACCTTGATATCCTCTAACTCCAGAGCAGGCATCCAGGTGTTGGCTTTCTGGTGGAGTGTATGCAAGTTCTCTCCAGGGACACATCCTGCAGTCTAGCTGCTGGAGACGTGACCCTACAAGCTGCATTTTAAGTGGGCCAAGCTTGGCTACCACAGTGGTATCTGCCAGGCCTCTGGAAGCCCAAGCCACATACTGAACCAAGCAGTGACAGTGCTGGAGCCTCCTGCGTCTGCATGGCCCATCCTCTTCTCCCGTGCATTCTTCACCTGGGTCCTCAAAGACACCAAGTTCTGTCCTTCTGCAGGTGCTTCTGTTTCATCTTGCTGCACTGGTGTCCTGTCTCCCTACTCCCATTTATCCCTGCACCCCTGGCGAGTCTGCACTCATCCTTCCAGCTTGACTTAAAATGCCAATTCCTTGGAGAAGCTGACCCTAATGCTCCACATTGGGATCCTCTGTGAATTGTGTAAAGCCTTATTTCCCTTCATGACACTGATCATAATTCTAATTGTGTAGTACCTTAGACCATCATCTGTTTCCTTTATTAGACTGTAATTTCTTTAAGGCAGGACTCATGTCTGTCTGATACCCCAGCACTAGGTGTGGTGTGGAGTTGCAGTCTATACAAACATATAAATATGTGAGGCTAATGGCAGTCACATTGTAATCCTTGTATTCTACTCAGCAAAATAGGTTCACATTTGGATATCTTTCAAATTCTTTTAAATTCTTGATAGTATGTTATTTTAAAGTAGTGTAATACCTTATATTAAAATCTTATTGTATGGGTACTAAGTAAACTGAAATTGAAAATATAAGCAAGAGCATCAAGTATAATTTGTGCAGTGAAAGTTTAGTTTGTTGCATGAGTCAAATCAATTCACCAAATATTTACTGAGGCCCTACCAAGTACCAGGCACACTTGTCAACTGCTGAGAATTTGAAACTAAAAGACATGGGTCCTGGCCTCAAGAAGTTGGCTCACCCCAAATTCTAACTTATTTTTCCATTTTTAACTTTGCTTCCCTCCTCCCTTTTTCTTTCCTTTTCCTTTCATATATCAGTTCAAGGAGCTTTATGTCCTGTAACTTGGTAAACAATTGAATCAAGAGCAATTTTTATGGAATGATTTTTGTATGATCATTAATTTTTTTCTCCCTGGAAAGGAGAATTCATAGAACCCCTCTGTATTACGTGGGCTTAAAAGCTGGACATTAGCACACATGTGGGATAACCCTGGTGATATGAATGGACTGCAAAAGTGCAACTGAAACATAAATTTGAAGATTGCACGTTGTTTTCTGTCCAGCATATCTGTTATCTTCATGTACTTATGTGCACCAGCGTAACTTTTAACAAATACTGATACTTGGGTCAGTTCACTTTTTTTAGGAAACCCACACCTGTTTGCCCTCGGGTTGCTACACTGTTGTGAACCTGAGTGATTCTGAGTGGTTTCCTTGTTGTCTTCAGATCTTTTGAAAGGATCCTGGCTCTCTCCTTGTGCACTGCACTGTATTACCCACTTCTGTTCCCCATGCTTTCTGGAAGCTTCTTGAGGAGAGGAGAATCAATAGTTAATTGCTTTCCTCTGCCCACATTCAGTTTTCAACTCCAGAGACAGCCCAGCAAACTTCATTGTCTCCCTGCAGCAGTCAGCCGCCTACTGGAGTAACTGGGAAAGGCAGGTTGTGATGGCAGAATCATAGACTCAGGCCCAGATAGACCACTCACTGAGGCTGCAGAGCCTGGGCAGGAAAGTAATTAAATGTTCTGTCACCACTATGCAGCTCATGGGACCTAAGGGGAGATTTCTCTTATTGCACAAAATTTTTAGTAGTGTATTTTTATGTATGTTTGAGGAAGTGTTTGAAAAAAAACCTAACATTAAGGCAAATAAAAATGTGGGGTGACCAGAGAATAAAATCAACAAGATCAACTAAGTATACAAATTTCCCCAGTAATTCATAATTGGACATTTCAATTATACTGAAATTAACTTATATTTGATCCAAATTAAGAACCTTCTCTTCCTCTGGTGCTGCTGCCAGTTTCTTGTGTCTTCCAGTTGTAGGGCACATAATGTATAAATCCAAGGAACTCTACCCAAAAAAAGGATTCTAAAACTTTGAATTGTTGAGGAGTTTAGGGAAGTTCATCTTTATTTTAAAAACCAAATTAATAGAACTATAGGACTGGTAAGAACCTTAGAACTAGGTAATCCATTTCTTTATTTTTTACATGAAGACAAACAAGATCCTGAGAGACTAAGCATTTTGTTGACGATCACCTCGTTCGCATCTCCAATATCTAAGTTCATAGTTCATTTCTCTGAATCTCTTCAAGAATAAATTCCACTAGTTGTAAATAAAGTGTGGTTTGAAGAAGTGCTTTGTTCAGGTTTTTTGGGGGAGAGGGTCTCCTTCTTACAGAATTGTATATGTGTGCGCACATTGTGGGTGTGTTCTTTTTCTGCAGTTAGCTGTGGCTCTAACTCAAGGCCTAGAATGCATGAGAGCTGGAGAACACCGCTATGGGCGTTTAGCCTTGGCCTACTTGGCAGATGAGAAATAACAGAGGCCCAGAGAAGACATGTGTGGCTCACCCTGTTTCACAACTCCACTCTTCAGATGCTCTATGCAGTACTTTCTCTGGGACATCAGGCTTCCTCCAAATAGTGTCACTTCTGTTAGTTAGGAAGTATACATACACAGTAAGAGCAAATTTACGTAAGAAATATACTAACCAGAACAAAATAGTCTGTAATATAGTAAAAGTATCATGTAATCTTTAAGGCCTTTTTCACATTCCCATTTTTTGCCTTTAGAAATTAGTAATTTATTGTTATTTAATTTCTCTCATTTTTTTTTCAAAACACAGCATATAAATAATGACCATATTCATGGAGAAAAGAAGGAATTTGTGTGCCGGTGGCTAGATTGCTCAAGAGAGCAGAAACCCTTCAAAGCCCAGTATATGCTGGTAGTGCATATGAGAAGACACACGGGAGAGAAACCTCACAAATGCACTGTGAGTATACAGGTGGCTCAGGCTGTCAACATGGAGGTCACCTCATACCTGTGGGTGTTAGGATTCACATGGGTCCTTTGTCATATTCTCAGGGTTATGTGTGATGACTCCAGCTTAGGGGTGGCGTGGCTGGGTGATAGGTGCTATCTGTGAAAATATGAGGGTTTGTGGGATGAGTTTCTGAAATGGAATGGAAGCGAGAAATGGAGAAAGAATGCTGACAGCTATACTTTGGGGGATGATGGACATGTTCTAGACCTGCACTGTCCAACATGGTAGCCACAAGCCACATGCACCTCTTGAGCACTTTTGAAATGTGGCTAGAGTAACCAGGAAACTAATTTTTTAATTTAATTTATTTTTAGAAAATTTAAATACAAATAATCCATGTGGCTAACAGGTACCACAATGGACAGCACAGCTCTGCAGAGTGGGACATGGGCAGGCTGAGGGCAGGACACGCTGTCTGGCACTGGGAATGAGCATACAGCCACTGTGCCTACCCCAATGCTAATGTCCATTTTGTCAGAGGACTTGGAGGGTACAGGCAGATGCCAGCTTCAACCTAAAAAGCTTATGTTGACTTTAAAAAAATATATAACCTGTATGATTTAGGGTTTTTTCTTGCCCTCCCAGTCTGTTCTCATGTCCTGGTATAGACCTACCCACAGGCAGGCTGGAACTCCTAGGAGGCTAAGCCTTCTTTCACTAAGGTGCATGCCAGTCACACTGGACACTGTTCAGTCCCAGTACTTTACATGTTAAAGGCCCTTTATAAATGTGATCAAATTCCATGCCTTTTTATGGACACAAAACCATATAATGAATTTTGCGCTGAATCTGAAATCAGTGGGAATTCGAGGAGATCAATGAAAGATAATGAAAACTATTGTCCACACTGAGTGGTCTCTTAAGGAAAAAACCTCCTGGACTTTTACTAGCACTGCAGATGCTTTCTCTTGAACTGCACTGAGCCCCAACTGAATCTGAATAAATGCAGAATTTAGTGGACTTTGTTCCTTGGTTTTGAAAAGCAGCTGACCCTCATAATGTCAGTCTTCCATCAACTTTGAGGTAATGTTAAGCATAAGCTGTTATTGTGTGAAATAATCCAGACTTACCTGTTGTCTTCAGTTTGAAGGTTGCACAAAGGCGTACTCGAGATTAGAAAACTTGAAAACACACTTGAGATCTCACACTGGAGAGAAACCGTATGTCTGTGAGCATGAAGGTTGCAACAAGGCTTTCTCAAATGCTTCTGACCGTGCCAAGCACCAAAACAGAACACATTCCAATGAGGTAAGGCTCCCCCATGGGAGACACTTGGGGCCCAGAGGTTGTGGGTAGAAACAATGAACCTTTGTGGAGACTATGCATGGAGAGGTAAGCCTGTTCCATTCTATTTCCTCTTGACCATTCCCAGAATGAGTGAACAGTGATGCTGCAGGTGAAGGCTTGGGGCCTTTGAAGTAGGGTTGAAAACTGGGCCTGGTTTGGAGAATAATGCAGATGAAGAAGGAACTGCTTAAAACCCCTGGCAAGCAGGTTTCGCTATATTCAGAATTGCTCTCTACTGGTCAAACCATAGGAGCATTTAACTTAGAATGCTGTCCATTTGCTGGGCCTGAAATAGCATGAATCCATGAAAAAGATGACCCTGTGAGCACCAAGGAGAGATTCAAAGCAACACATTGACAGCTGGCAGCTTTCCATTGAAAGGACCACTTTCCTTTTTTTTTTTTTTATTTCATAGTTTTGTTTTTTTTTTAATTAATTTATTTACTTTTTAAATACATTTGTCTCTGCCTTCCCCCCACCTCTTTCCCTTGCCCCCTCCCACCTCCCGTCCCTCAGCTCTTCCCCTTTGGTTTTGTCCATGAGTCCTTGCTATTAGTTCCTTGACTTTCCCCTTCCCTTCCCTTTCCCTGCCCCCCCTTCCCTCTTGTCTCTGTTGATTTCTTTTCTGAAAGGACCACTTTCATTTGCTTTCTGCATGGTATCTTCAGATGTATTGCATCAAAAAAAGACTTAGAACAGCCAGCCAGCCTTGGCTAAGTATATATGATTTCTAGACATCATAAATTCTAATACATCCTGGAAGTTATTCTCAGAAACTCAGAATGGTTTCTAGCCAGTTATTTAACATATTGAGTAAAACTTCATGGTTAGTGGGTGGTCTTGTTGTGATGTTGTTATTTTTAGGTAGTTATCCCCTCAAAATTTCGGAGAAGCATTAAGAATGAAAATGATTTCAATTTTGCTTACTTTTTAATGCATGCCTGCCTGTAGACCTCCAACTTCTCTTTGAATATCTAACTCAAATTCTGTGACCTGTCCCTTGAATGAATCCAGAGACTAACAAAAGAGCCCCCACAGTTTTGGTAGAAATAGGAGAGCTAACTAGGATTTGTTAATATGAAACATAGTTCTACCCACAAAATATATCATCATCATTTTGCTTGAAATGTGAGAGAGAAGGAAAGGACCATTTTGACTTTGGCATGGCTGTTTCCTGACCTCACAAGGTGCCATCAAGCCCATTCATGATCTTCCAGCTGGACAGTTGACACAATCTGGTTAAAAACAGTTGTATGCCTTCAGCTCACTGGCCATTGACTTTAAGGTGGCAAAGATGGCCCTCAGTGAACTGAATGAGCAAAACATCTCTAATGAGGTCAACCACACTGTCTGAAAAGGATCCTGGCATAAACTCATACATGCAGGTCCACATACTCAGAGTTCTTTTGAAAAGTTCATGATAGAATAAGGAAACATCATTTGGAATCTCTTATTACTGATCAACTATTTGAGGATATTTTAGGGAAGGTGTGCATCTCCTTTTTTATGTCAAAGATGCTTTTATCATGTACAATAGTTTTGTTTTATACTGAATTTTAGGGAGTCTGGAGTACACAAATCCATAGAAATAGAAAGTAGAGTAGTGGTTGGCAGAGGCTGGGAGTGGGGATAGAAATGACTGCCAATAGGTACAGATTTCATTTTAGGATGCTGAAAATATTCTGTTATTTGATAGTGGTGATGTTTACCCAAGAACATGAATTTACTAAATGCTTCTGAATTATGCAACTTTTAAAAGGAGTATTTTTATATGTGAATTATTTCTCTACTTAAAATGTTTTAGGGGATTTGAGTAACTTAGCATTTAATTAATATATTCAACTACATTTAATATATTTAAGTATAATTTTCACTAGAAATGTAGAGGGTATTCATTCCTATAGATTTTAGGCCAAAGTTATCTCCTTTTATGGTGGAGAAATTTAGGTAGTGGATATATTAGGATTAGCAATGAACACATATAAACATACTACTGAGCTTTTTTATCTTTTCATGGACTTAAAAATGTGCACATATATGTTTGTTGTAATTAAGTGTGTTATAATTGAGCTTATATTCTGTGAAGTAAAAAGTGCTGTACTGTATGAGAATTTAATATCTGTTGTAAGATTTAAAGGTATCTTGGTTAATATTATTTGTACCAAGGTTGAGCAATTTTTAAAATAATTTTTATAAAATTTTCCATTTAGAGTTGACATACATTATTATATTAGTTTCATGTATACAACATAGTGATTAAACATTACAATAAGTCTAGTACCTATCTGACACCAAAGTTGAGCAATTTACCTAAAATAACTAAAACTGACCATCAACATGTAAATAAAATTTTATTTACAAACATGTAAATTATTTTTCTCTGTTCTTTATACAAGGCTTGTCCTTGCATGTGAATGATGAACAATTTCAGATACACTAAAATTAAGTTTGTCCAGGAAACCCAGTTTTGTATAATCTCACAATTCTACATAAGTCTAGATGTCTTCTCTTATTTATTTGCTTTCTTATTTGTACCTTTATTGATTTACTGAACAGATACTGCCAAGCACTTTCCTATTGCAGATGCAGCAGGGAATACAGTGGCCTAGAACAGGAAAGCAGTGATTCCCATTCGAGGAATCTAGTTCAACACTCCTCTCCAGACCTCGTAGCTAATATTCCTTCCAAAGCCACGCTAAGCTAGTTCCCTTTAGCTCAATTTGGTTGTCCCCCTCTCCAGAAAGTTCCAATAGCTCTCTCTTTCCTGTAGGAAATGTTTAGACCCCTTAGGCTTATACCTGCTCTCAATCCAACCCATGCCTGCTCGTGCAATCTTGACCGTTTATCATAGTGACCGTGAATGGAACTTTCCAGACAACCTGTGCTTAAACAGTTATGCCCACATGCATGAAGTTGTACTGCTGCTGACCTTTACTAAGGATACTCCTTTTTTGGCATCGCCTGGCCCTCATTCTTATCCCTCAGAATCTTGTTCTTCTTTCAATATCCAACCTCAATGCCTCCTGCTAATGAAAGCACTGTTTATTTAGAATTTACTTTGTGCAACACATTATGGTAAGCACTTTGTATACATGATCTTATTTAACCTTTACCATGACCCAGTGAACTGGGCATTTTATCCAAATATAGAAATTTAATGCCTCTCATGATCATTCTGTAGCATTCCTACTTTGTATTGTAGACAATTACATGCTGTCTTATTTTTCTTGCCATATTTTATAATCCTTGAGATCAAATCCTATTGTATATAACTCTGTTTTCAGAGAGTCCTGCATATAGCTGGGATTATTAAATGTGTAATGAAAAGTTTTGGGGTGGTAAATTTTACAAAGTCAAGTACAAAAAATATCAGTTGCTTTTACAAAGTATCTTTGAGTACAGTGAGTCAAAAAGGTTGGCCAACCATGGAACATCCAGGACAGGAAATATGCATACGTCAACTCAGAAAAACTGACAGCATTTACCTTCACCTAGTTATATTTCATTTCAGTCATTGATGACAACAAAATTTGGGGGCTAAGCTACATAATTGTGTTAATGTGTTTAGTTGCAAAGCATAAGTTTCCTGAACCTATATGGATTTTTGCAGGTAGTTAATGTATATGTTCACACACAAGGACACCTTGGCACACACTTATGTGCTGTGCTGTTCCTGGAAATGCAGGACCTGACGGATATTTGTAGACTTATTCCACTTGTAGCTGTGTCTTCATTTCCAAGAGAACCCGTAGTATCCACATACATATATTTATGGGAAGAGTAGCTCTTTAAACAGGATACTGGCCTGGCTTTGTGCTCTCTGAACCTTCCCTCAATCCCCATACATCTGGACCATGCATCCTAGTCTGTCTGCTGATGGTACAGCCTGTCATAGCAGTGCAGTGAGTTAGCACAGGGCCAGTGTCAGAATACTATAAGGTAATAGCACTAATTGTCAGAGCCATTCTTCTCTCTCTAATGCATAGAATTTGATGTGATTATTTTACTCAATATATATATAGAGAGAGAGAGGGAGAAAGAGAGAGAGAGAGAGAGAGAGCGCGCGCACTGCAAATCACAGGAGCTCCTGAATAGAAGTAATTCATAGTTAATGGGAATCATTTCTACCCAAAAGAATCTCAAATTTGGAGATAAAGTCTCTCAGGATAATTTTCAGAATCTTTGCTTCACTATATTAGGACCTTTCATCGTTTTAGGTAGCACTCAGTCTATTCTTGGGCTTTTAGCAAAACAGCATCTTTTAGACACATACACTCCATAAGATAGGGCACCTTTTTTAATATAATGGATGCATTATATTAATCATGCTTTTTATGACTATTGCTTACCTAATAGCTCTTTTTCTGGTATGAATATATAGTCATACTTATTTATATATTCATATTTTTATATATTCATATTTATATAAGCCTCCATGAATATATTATATTTCAAGCCAAGTAAATAAAAATCATAATTCTGATGTTGGTTATTAATACAATGCCAGCAGTTCTATAATTTGAGTAAATATTCAGTTATAGGCATCTATATAATTTTATATGACTGTATCTATAAGCCTGATCACTAGCCCACGTAGAAAATGAAATTAACATGAAATAATTTATAGGCCTTTGTACTCAGGAGCAGAGCCTAGACCATGAGTCATCTCCAGAACACCATCCAATTAGCCCTTTTCAGTTTATGAGTGCGCTTTCGTGGACGGTCTAACAGGGTTTTATGAGTTTGAAAGGTTATGGGTATTCTGAGCTCTGACCATCTCCACAGAATTATAATACTACCCAAAGGAACATATTCTAGTGATACCTAACATGGAAGAGTCTACAGGAAATTTTTTTATGCCTGTGTATAAAAAGCACATTTTCAGAGGGGGTAGAATGATGTTAGATCTGAGAACTAGAACATCCATATAGCAAGGACTCATGGACAAAACTAAAGGGCAAGAGTTGAGGGAGGGAGGGAGGGGGCAAGGGATAGTGGTGGGGGTTAGGCAGAGACAAATGTATTTGAAAAAATAAATTAATTAATTAAAAAAAAAAGAAATTTTTTTTACACACACTCACCTAAAAGGTATGTAATATAAACATTCTTCTGATTAAATGATGGATACCTTTTATTCCTTTTTCTGTCATCATCATCATTACCATCAATGTCGTCATCAAATATCTACTCAGCACCTACTGTGACACCACAATACTTCTTCCTACTCAAAGGATAAATGCTTCCAAGATTATAAATGCTATTTTTATGTCTTTAGCACTCTGTAAAACAGTAACATCTTAAAGCTAAATTCCTAGCTTAAAGCTAAGACCCTGGACAATATTCAAATGGCCTTTATATCATTTAGATGTATTTGGACACCTTAAAGCTTTGTGAAAGTGCTTTTAAAGAATTAAAAATATTATGAGCAACCACAGAAGACTGTTGGGCTGGGTATGATTACTCTCCTAACAATCTGTTATTTCATTCTCATGGCATTTGGTAGAAACCATATGTGTGCAAAATCCCAGGCTGCACTAAGCGCTACACAGACCCAAGCTCCCTCCGGAAACACGTGAAGACAGTGCATGGTCCAGAGGCTCATGTCACCAAGAAGCAGCGTGGGGACGTACATCCTCGGCCCCCACCACCACGAGATTCCGGCAGCCATTCACAGTCCAGGTCACCTGGCCGGCAGACTCAGGGAGCCCTTGGTGAGCAGAAGGACCTCAGCAACACTACCTCAAAGCGGGAGGAATGCCTCCAGGTGAAAACAGTCAAAGCGGAGAAGCCCATGGTATGTCATTCACTTTCCTTCTGATTCTCCCAAAGGCATCCTAGGTCATTTCAAAGAGCTGGAGAGAGTATTGAGAGGGAATAGACTGTCCCCATCCTCACTGCATTGAGCTATTTGATGTAAGGAGGTCAGGAGGTCAGTGTCCTGGATTGCTTACTCAGAGTTGCTCTGCATAGAATAACTCAGCTTCAAAGAGTTTCAGAGTTTTCTGAATGGTCCCGAAATTGATCTGCAGCTATACCACCTTGTGGCAGGTAAAAGGCACAATTGTCTACATTTCCAGCGTAATGTAGAAAATCATTCTTTGGGTTTTTCTGCAAACAGGTTTTCTGTCTTCTTTGCCCTGGTGATGCCAAGATAAATAAGCCATAGTCCCTATTCTTTAGGGTTTTATAGTCCATTGGGATATGTGGACTCAAAAAAAATGCAATTGGGGCTTTAACACACATCTGTGTAAGAGCATTTAAGAGGGGAGCTAACCATCCGGGCAACCCAAGGACAGATAGGGAAGGCAGAGGCAGGGACGGCTGCCGAGTTCAGCACTCAGGAGAGAAAGAAGCAAGTATGTGCTGGCATAGCCAAGCACTAGCTGTGGGACCCCAGGGCAGTGTGCTGTATAGTAAAAAGGGGTGAGGATACAAGGGATTATGTTTTGCTCTCGACTTTAGAAAAGACAACTCTCCAGTGCCAGTCTGGAGATTGGCTTGGTATATTGGAGAGAATGTTCACAATGGTGCCTGAGTCAAGGAGATAGAGAGCGAGGGAGGGATTGAAAGGTCATCAACAAAAATCTTTATGGTTTAGTGACAAATAGGATGTATGTATTATGCTACTGTTACCACTTCTTTCAAACTTCATTTTGCTTTATATAGTACGTGCCATCATGAAATATCTACGATTTTTCAATAGACAACAAGAAAAATGAAAGAGTAGTCTATCAGAAGACAGTACATTTGTATTTCTCTATATGTTTAATGAAGTCATCTCTGCGAATGTGTTGGGTTCTAGTTCGTCATTCTCTAGAGGTGGAGGGAAAGTACCAGGTGGAAGTCACATGCTTAGACTTCCAGATGCATGGAAATGGTCAGGCAGGCAAATTTATACTCAGTTTAAGGAAGTATTCCCTTAAAATTAGAAAAGCCAAGCAATTGGATAGATACCTATGAATTCCTGAATGATGTCACTGTATAGAGTACATATGGGCAGGAAATAACTCACATACATTTCCAGAATTAGTGGAGTAGAATTTAATGACTTACTGAATTTTAATGATTTACTGAGTTTGTCTTTGAACTCTTGAAAGTCTTAATGACGTTAAATCTAACCACAAATAATGCAAATGATGCAGATTTATCATTATTTTCCAATGGGTAGCTATACCGTGCTTTTAAAAAGCACCTTAGTAAAAAGTTTACATATGTATTGTGACTGATCACTATACATGTGTCAGGTCATAAACTGTGCTTTATATACTTTTTCTTGGGAGCACATATCAACTTGCTAAAATAAAGTCCACCTGTGTAATAATAGTGCAGAACATTCAGCAGTTTATCCTCAAGTGTTTAATGAAACAAATAAAGGAAATTTGTGGTTTCCTCTATTATGTCCTGAAAAGACAGTGATTTATGATGTTAGGACTTCCTAAGAACCCAGAATCTTTTGTATCTTTAATATATATACCTAGATTTAAAAAAGAAAAACAAACAAAAAAAAACTTGTCATCTCTTCTCCAAATACCCATTAGTTAAAAAGAAAATAGACATGAAAATTTATAGTGATTTGGCTTAGTGACATCTGAGATGTCATAAGATGTAAAATATTTTTTGAAGTAACTAAATCAGAGAAACATGGGGCCAGAAGACATCACAGAGGCTGAGGCTCCGCCCATGTTTTATACTTGAGGAAACTGAAGCTCAGTGATGTTAATGTGAATTAGTCAGATTTCCACAGGGAAGATTATTATGCATATATGTGTACACACACTTATGGATATAGGTAGGTATCTTCAAAGACATTTACTAATGCATATGAGATTTACATTTCTAATATTCTTTCTGTAAATTCCTGTCTTTGATTTGATCATCATGCTAAAAATTAAATTTTTCTTCTTTTTTCTTATTAATTCAACATCCCTTCTGTGTAATGCTCCTAAATGTCTTGTTCTCACTTCCTAAGGACAGTGGGTAATAAGGTGAGGGAATTTTGGCTTCTTTTTTGTTCTGGTTTTATTTTAACATTTAATTTTTATTCACTTCATTTTCTTCAGTTTTTGTGCTTTGTGATTCCATTGGTAGTGAACATTAGATATGTTTCAAACATAGAAGCACTGTATTTTGAACATCTAGCATGTGGAAATGTGGAATTAGATGGTGAAATTCATTGTTCTATTTGTCTAGGTTTTCATAATAAATCACACTGGGGCCGACCAAGCAGATGTCGCCATAGACTATCTAACTACCATATTAACTAGTATAAATCCAGACCAGACATGCACCACCTTCTTTGAGGAAAATCTGGATACATTTTTTTTTGTTAGCAGTGCGATCTATATTTAAATATCTGAGTTCCATTAAGCAGTTTTCTAATTATAAATGCATTTGTTCCTTCTTCCTTGCCCTGTGGAAGCATGTCTGCATGTGCTTGTATACATGCACAGTTTCACATGCACCCACACTCTGATTTGACCACCCAGAGTAAAGGACATCAAAAGTCCCAGCTGTTCCAAGAACCTTGGAGCAGGTGTCTGGCACACCAAGACTGCTGAAGCAAAAACTTAAGCAAAGCTTCATGAACTCATGGTCAAATTTGTGTTTCTCACTTTGCTCTGCTTGGTTGCCCAGGACAGACTTAGTGTATCATATGGCACTCACTTGATAAGTGTTCATTTCCTTGGGTTTCTGTACTGTGGTGGCAGAAAAAGTGTAAACTGTCTCAAATCCCCTCCTGACAGCACTGTGCATCCCACTTAAGATGACAGCAATATGTAGTGGAGTGTGTATGGCTGTCCCTCCCCAGAGAATCTGCCCTCTTGGCTGTGGTCATGTGCAGTGGTCAGTGCACCCCTGGAGGAGGTGCTTCAGAGGAATCAAGCAGCACTGGGCCAGCATCTCAGCTGGTGGTACCATTGACTTTGTGACTTTGGGCAGTCACTCAACTTCTCTGCACATTACCAACCAGGGCACTAGTAGAATTTTAGATGGAACAGTTCTGGGTTGTGCTGCTGCTCATTGCAGGCCATTTTATATGGAGCTCCCCAGACATGAAGACAAGGAGCTTTCTACTCCCCATTTGCAGGAGCCCTTGGAGGGGCCTTTCACTGATTGAGCACTGGTGGACTAGATTAAGTGCCCATCTAGTTGCACAATTGTCTTACACAGTCCACTTGGGGTTAGAGCAATATTGCCTGATTGTCCTGGCAAAATTCTGGGGCACACCAGATTTGAGGTGGCTGCAACTTGATGCCTTTCTTTCCTCTCTGGGTACAGCAGAATCTAAGTAATTGAAGTTTCACTTCTTACAACTGGCTTTACCCACACCTTACCTGGGTTCTGTAAAGTAGGAAAGTGTAGAAGAAGGTGAAATATTATACAGAGCTTGGGAAACCAGCCCTGAGCAGCTTGGAGTGGCTCTTGTTGAGGAGGAGATAGTATGTGCTTCTGGAACATGTCTTCCATGTATATATTAGCTCAGCAGAAATAACCCGAGGACTGAAGCCACCTAGGATGATAATCGCTAATGCTCTCTGAGCCAATCAGTTGCTATGACCCAGGCTTTCTGTTTACACTTTGTGCTATCAAGCCTTCACACTTACTTTGCACAACAATCTTTAAGATAAATAACTTCCTCATTTTATAGATACGGAGGTTTACAGTGGCTTAGTAATTTGCCCAAAGAACAAAGTCATGTAAGTGGTAGGATTGGAACCCAGGAGGTATGTTTGCAGAGTTGGCATTTTGGACAGGGTTCCATGGTTGTTATCATGCCAGTCACACCACTTATAGCACTCCCTGCCATCCACTGCTCCCCACTGAACACCCACCTGGTAGTCTATCAGTCATTGTGGTGTAGGGAGGCCACCTCCATTTGCCAGAACATAGCTCTCATTCAACCCAGTGAGTGTCCTGCAAGTCTTGATCTGCATCATCTTTCATTATTGGCTCCCTTTCTTTTTCCCTTTCGGTAACATTTCTTTTCTTTTTTCTTACCCCAACAGACATCTCAGCCAAGCCCTGGTGGTCAGTCTTCATGCAGCAGCCAACAGTCCCCCATCAGCAACTATTCCAACAGTGGGCTCGAGCTTCCTCTGAGCGATGGAGGTGTTGGAGACCTCGGTGCCATTGATGAAACCCCAATCATGGACTCAACCATTTCCACTGCAACCACAGCCGTTGCTCTGCAAGCCAGGAGAAACCCAGCAGGGACCAAATGGATGGAGCATGTAAAAGTAGAAAGGCTCAAACAAGTAAATGGAATGCTTCCACGACTGACCCCCATCCTACCCACCAAAGCCCCTGCGGTCTCTCCTCTCATAGGAAGTGGTGAGTTCTGTTTCAGACCCTGTGTCTTCTCAGAGTTTTCTGTTATTTTATTTATTTATTTTAAAGTAAAACTGTGCATGACATATTCTGATGGTGAAATCATAACTACTAGACCAGGCGGGGAAATTCCAGCAGTGGGGGCACCTGCAGTCAGCACCTGTCTCTTGTTTTACATCTAAAATTAGGAGATTAGCAGCCACTTTACTGATGTTTGTCCAGTTTAGGTAAAGGCAAGTAGCCTTTTACACTGTCAGCCCAAGTGAGTTTTTGCTTCTGAGATAACCTTGAATGCCTGGAGCACAACCCAAGGGTGGGCCTCCCCAACCCACCACTCAGGTGTGTTAGTTTCATAGGCATAGGATGTCACAAGAAACCCTGAGTGTGGACATGAAACCCTGGAAAACCTTAGACCTATAAACGTGCCTCTAACTTCAGCACTATGTATACACCTTGAGCTTTTCATTCTGCTTATGAGGAGCTTAATTGATCCAGGCAATCTTTACTCTTATTTAACCAAGGGTCCCAGAACTTTGTCTGTGAGCTTGTAAATAATGTTTTATTGGCCTCTAGCCACACCCACTCCTTCTGGTGCTGCACAGCAGATGTGGGTAGCTGTGACAGAGACTGGGTTGAGTGAGGAACTGAAAATTACTACCTGGCCCTTTAACCCTTTGCTGAGACCTGCCTTATGTCATCCTGAAATGAATTCATCCCTCCCACACTTTCTCTGCAGGCACCCAACCTAGTAACAGCTGCAGTTTGAGCGGGCCCATGACTCTCCTCCCAAACAGAAGCGATGTTTCTGGGGTGGATGTCACCATGCTGAACATGCTCAACAGGAGAGATAGCAGTGCCAGCACCATCAGCTCAGCATACCTGAGCAGTCGCCGTTCCTCGGGCATCTCCCCCTGCTTCTCCAGCCGGAGGTCCAGTGAGGCATCCCAGGCTGAGGGCCGGCCCCAGAACGTGAGTGTGGCTGACTCCTATGACCCCATCTCCACTGATGCCTCACGCAGGTCTAGCGAGGCCAGCCAGTGTGACGGCCTGCCCAGCCTGCTCAGCCTCACACCGGCCCAGCAGTACCGCCTAAAAGCCAAGTACGCCGCGGCCACAGGTGGGCCACCTCCCACACCTCTGCCCAACATGGAAAGGATGAGTTTAAAGACCAGGATGGCCCTGCTAGGAGACAGCAGGGAGTCTGTGGGGGCCCTGCCCCCTGTCAACCCACCCAGGAGATGTAGTGACAGCGGAGCCCACAGTTACAGCCGGCGTCCTCTGCTGCCCCAGGATGCACTGGGCCACGGTGTGAGAAGAGCCAGTGACCCAGTGAGGACAGTCTCAGAGAGCCTCTCACTGCCCAGGATGCAGCGTTTCAACAGCCTAAATAGCTTCAACCCTCCAGTTTTGCCTCCATCCCTGGAAAAGCGTAACTTAGTTCTTCAGAATTACACACGGCCTGAGGGTGGCCAGTCACGCCACTTCCACTCGCCTCCTTGTCCTCCAAGCATTGCTGAGAACGTCACCCTGGAGTCCCTGACCATGGAGACTGATGTGAACCTGAACGATGAGGATTTCTTGCCCGATGATGTGGTGCAGTATTTAAATTCCCAGAACCAAGCTGGGTATGAACAGCACTTCCAGAGCACCCTCTCTGATGACAGCAAAGTGCCCCACAGACCAAACTTGGGGAGTGGGCATGGTGACTTTGACCAACCTGGATTGCCAGATAGCCATGCCAACCAGCAATACCATGAGCTGGAGCAGCCCTGCCCTGAAGCCAGCAAAGCTGACCTGCCCATTCAGTGGAATGAGGTCAGCTCTGGAAGTGCTGACCTGTCCTCCTCTAGGCTGAAATGTGGCCAGCGATCCACAGCGCAGCCAGCTCGAGCATTTGGGTTATACAACAACATGGGTTCCCAGCCACAGAATCCCTTGGGGAAAGGGACTGGCCCACCAGGGGTCTATCAGACCGTTGGGGAGCAATGCAGCACCTATGGTGGGCCAGAGCACTTGGTGGGCCACAGCGGTGGGACTGGCACCAACAGAAATGCCTTCCATGAACAGCCCTATAAGGTCCAGCAGTATGGGAACTGCCCCAACAGGCAGCCCAGGGCCCCAGGCTCACTCGACAGTGCCTGTGGTACTGGGATTCAAGTGGCAAAGCTGAGAAGCATCACCATGCAAGGGAGTGGGAGCCAGCCAGATTTTGGCCCATCAGTGGTGCCCGATGAATCAGTTGGCAGCACAGTGAATGGCATGCCAATCCGATACCCAGTGGGACAGGGGAACTTGGCTCATCATCTACTCAGCGACAGCATGTACCACCAGGGGGCAGGCCGCCCAGGGCAGCAGATGCCAGGGCAGGTTAGCGCTACCTCACATATCAATGTATATCAAGGGCCAGAGAGCAGCCTGCCAGGGCCTCCCAACATTGGGGGCCAGACATCAAGCTTGGCAGCTGTCAGGAGCTACCAGGTATATGCTGACTATGGAGGCAGCAGGCGCCATGCTATGCCGAGGGGCAGCCTCACTCTACAGCACAGTGACACAAGTCAGACCTGCAGGGTCAACGGCATCAAGACAGAGATGCAAGGGCAGCCCCATCAACTCTGTTCTAATATGCAGAGTTACTCTGGTCAGTTCTATGACCAAACCATTGGCTTCAGTCAGCAAGACATGAAAACTGGTTCATTCTCTATTTCAGAAGCCAACTGCCTGCTACAAGGGGCCAACACCGAAAACTCTGAATTACTTTCCCCGAGTGCTAACCAGGTGACAAGCACAGTTGACAGTCTTGACAGCCATGACCTCGAAGGTGTGCAGATTGATTTTGATGCCATCATAGATGACGGGGATCACGCCAGCCTGATGTCAGGGGCCTTGAGCCCAAATATCCTTCAGAACCTTTCTCATAGCTCCTCCCGCCTCACGACGCCACGAACATCCCTCCCACTGCCAGCACTCTCTGTGAGCACCACCAACATGGCCATCGGGGACATGAGTTCTTTGTTGACCTCCCTTGCAGAAGAAAGTAAATTCCTTGCAGTTATGCAATAGGCACTAGGGAAAAAGGACTGCCAACAAACATGAACATTTAGGAGTTCAGAAGATTAAATTGAGTTAGTTTTTGCTGGTTTGTCTTTTTTAGTTCTGTATGTATTTTAGCAATCTCATCTCACCTAACTGGGATGTGTTTCAAGTATATTCCTTTTATGGAAAAGGACTCTGAAAAACCCTAAAGTGTTCTAGGGAGAAACTTTCTTCCATTTCAGTTTGAATCAGTATTGTTACACTCTAACTGCCCTCTTTTTTTAAAAGCTGTAAGTCTGTCCACCTTAATAGTAAACCATTTGTAAATGTGTGATGTGCATGTTCTTCTTTCTTTATGAAAAGAGGTCAGACAAAAGGATTTGACATGTTTCTCTGTTACTAATGCAAAGGATATAGGAGTTGGTATGCCTTTAACCAAGGGAGTAAACATCCACCTTTTAAAAATTTCCTTTACATATGCTCAATGTTTGCTATGTTTTTGTTGTTTTTTTAATTCCTACATTGGGCACAAGAATGGTTAGTAAGTATAAGAATCATTTGTGGGTGAACTGTAGCATAGATCCTAGATTTTTTACATGCTTCCACCCCTAACTCAGTTCAGGGCATACTTTTGACAGTTGCCACAAGTGGAAATTTGGGGCTCTTGAAATTAAATAGTTTGCTCACAGTTTGGTTTAAAAGTCTTCCTATCCATAGTGTACTTTGGGTGGGGGTGAGTACATCTTTGTGGTCAGTTCTCAGTTATCTACTTTGCCTCCTCTCCCTCTTTCTTCATGAGAGTTAAGTGCTGTTCAGCATTCCAGGGAGAAAGTGGAAGCCAGATGGTGACACTCAGACACCCGTTGCTTCTTTCATCTGACCTGGTAAGAAGGTGGATTACAGATTAAAGCTGTTGGGTAGAATTAGTTTGGGGAATACTTGTGGGTTTGCTGTATTTGTTGATTAGTTCCATCTCTTTACCATTATTATAGATAACTGAGAATTGATTATATGTAATTCTAAGTACATAGGTATTTAAACAACTTCACAGCTGTCTGTTATTAACGTATGTTAACCCCATGATAGCGAAGCACTATTTCTATTCTAAGCACACTATTTTCAGGGATTTATAAAAATTTAGTTATAACAGAAAAAGCACACATACACAGATATTTGGAATAAATTGCTTCAACCATTTTTGGTATTTGAGAGACTATGTAGGATATTTAGAAGCTGTATGGATGCCTCTTTATACCCTATCTATTAAATTCTGCATCCATTTAAGAAGTTAAACATTCTATGCAGTTAGTCCTTAATGTGGGCTTAATCTGTCGTTTGTTTGGGATTAACACACTTCAGGATTTATAAGTGCAGCTACTTCCCATGTGCAGTGGGTACACATAAAAAACATACTATGTGTGCACAGAGTACCTGGGTTATCCACCATTTTATTTTTTTTAAATATGTAAACTATTAAAATGTTAACACCTGAGACTACTTGCTGTATTCTTCCCATTGATCTTGGAATTGGATTTATCCAAAGTGACCCATGGTTCAATTACTTCCATTTAAATTAGCATTAGAAAGACAAAATCAGATATAATAAAATATTATTAGATAATAGAATGTTAGGACCAGCCCATTTTTCTGATGTTTATGTTCTCTCCCTTGGACCAAGTATCTCAGCATGGAGGTAAACTTACCTTTGGGACTTTGTGGCTAAGACAGTTTGGTTTGCCTCCAACTGAATGGATGTTCCTGAGATTAGTTGAGGGATGCTGAGATTTCTCCTCCACATTCTGCCATCCTCCCACATGCAGCACCGTCTTTTAAATGAAAGGATCATCTGCTTTGGAACAGACCCCAGAAGCAAAAAACAGCCGAGCTACTGTTCTGAGCTCAGTAGAGTCAAGCCTCTACCACTTTTCAATGGGAAAAGCAAGGCTTTTTCTGGGTTCCTCAAACAGGTCATGATCTAGTCACAAAATCTTCCCTGTTCTTCTGGTGATCTGTTCCCTGAATCTTCTTTTTTCCAGGAACCTCAAAATCCCCAGGTCCTGGTCTTATCTTTCATGCTCTTGTGGTTTGACCTAACTCCTGTCCGTCTCTATCTGAGTTCTTCTCTCCTTACATAGTTGCTGGATTTGACCTGCGTTTCACAATTCCCCTAACTTCCCATGTCACCTTTGCCCCATGTGGAAGGATGGACAGCTATTGATAAGCACCGTAGTCATCTTGTGCCTCTGCTTCTTCCTTAAGTTTCAGATGATTCTCTGGGTTGCCCCATTTCTCTTTCTTTTCAAACTTGTTTTCCTTGCTACTGCCTTTAGATTTGCAAGAGACACTCATACTTCAACTCAATATGTGGCTCCTCTCAATCTGGAAATCTCAGGAGGATAGATCTGTTGTGACAGTCAGTGGTAGGAAGGTCTTTTGGGGCGATCTAGAAGTGTGTTGCCTGGACATGAATCTCTGTAGGCTTGTCATTTCCTGTGGCAGGACACACCTTCCGCCCCTGCCCCAAGCCTCCTCCAACCTTCTCCACCGATTCACTGGTGTCACGTCCTACTTTATAATGTAGGCTCATAAATGGTATTCCTCTTTCCCATGTTTGTTAAGCATGCTTTTATATGTCAAACCAGTTTGTTTTATTTTCTAAAGAACTAATTAGAATGCTCCTGCTCCTCATACATTGGCTCATCCTCTTGAGCCACAGTTTTGATTCTTATGATGTATGTGCCTTATTTTATGTTAATTGTGTCGATGCAAGAGACCATTTGGTGTTGCCCAATCAGAGCTCACTGCTGTGTGCTCCCCAGCCAGCTGAGAGCAGATGATTGTAGCAGAGTCTGAACTGTCTTGTAACCTGGTTTTCCATATTGTTTTTAACTGATAGGAGAATGCTCTCTTCTGACAAGTTATGGTTGTGTATCCTGCAAACAAGTAAGAGAAAATACAAGTTCATTTTTTTCACTTTTTTAGATTTTTAAAAAAATGTGTAATCCTTTTTAAAAGAAAGACATGTAAATACATTTAAGTATTGTAGGCATAGTGTCCAGATGTGGCTGGCCCTGGGCCCTCCTTGCATCTGCCTGCAGCTGGAGTGATGCCCCACATCCACCTCCAGCCCAGGGTGGAGCCATCACAGATGGACTTGACTTTTGCTTTCAGAACCACTTAGTCCTTTTGTAATAAAGTGAAAGAACAATGTTTCTTACAATGTCAATAAAAATCTCTTTGTACTGAAAATTTTAGTAGGTTGCTTATTTACTTCATAGCTGAATGGAAAGAATGCTTTCTTTGAAAAAATCCAGAGCCTTTGATTGAACCAAACTCTTCACACAACGAATCAAGTGGACTGGTACTCTGAGAGCCCAATCCCCCATCCCTCAGGTGGAGAAGGAGATGCTGACACACCTGCTGCTGAGGTTGAGGACCTGTACCTGGGCACACCACTTCTAACCATGATCATTTTTCTCAGTGTTATTGCTTTGCCAAATTCTGTGCAGAAGGATGTGAATAAGGTTTAATGACTAACAACTTGTCCCTCTTTTATATGTTATCCTCTCATTTCAAAGGGTTTAGGGTATAACACATATTAACAGAAAATCTGACATGGAATAACTTTTTATGTGGCTTTTAATAACTGACTTGAAAAAAATGTAAATGACTTGTCTTGTATTTTCAGTATTATTCTCAGATTGTTGCAAAAGACTCCAAATGGGTCCCCTTCCTCTGTCTGAATAGCAGCCAATGTCCTTTGAGCCAGCAGCCAAGCACATTAGTAGTCAGTATCTCAGCGCTACAATGATGAGTGGGGTCCTTGTGCACTCACCTCCACAGGTGCACCTTCATGTGTACCAGGAAACTACTGCTCCTGTGGATGATGAAAGTTTCTCTGTTCTTTAGCAGGGGTTCTACAGTCATAGGGATGCTCCATGCTTTTCAAATTCACAAGGGAGAATTTTTTCCCATAAACCCAAGTTTATCTGCTTTAATAACTAGGTCCCTCACATCAGGTGTCCAAATGAATTCAGAAAAAAAAATAGGAATTTATGCCTTGTCTCAGGTATAAATTTTCAGCTTACAAATATGCATGCCATGTAGCATGTCAAAATGAATAAGAGAAATGAGGCTAATAGGAAAAGGAGGCATGGGGTGCAGAACACTAACTCCTATAAGTCTGTGTGAGCAGGCATGCAGGTACAGCTCACAGCTTTGTTTGAAAGATGCCTCCTGTGAAGGAGATGTGAAGGAAGCAGAGTTAGAGGTAAAGTGGTGGAGTTATAATCCATGTGGTGTTTTATAAAGATTTATTTTAAGTAATTTAGGGAATTCAAAGGTGCCACTATATGTTGCCCAGATAAGAATATAGAAAAATGGGTGGAAAAATTAACCCACTGCCAAATTCTCATATTTATCCTTTTTTCTTCCAGGGTTTTCCCTTTATTTTCACTGATAGTGTTCCCCCTTTGGTTTTACTTCATTGTATATTTACTATTCCAAATTCAATCTAGGCTCATTCTTCCTTTAATATTAACTTTTTAAATTGCATTTTGCCAACATAGATCTAGTTTATGCCTTTTCTACCTTACTTATTCAACCTTTTCACAATTTTAGAAATAATAATAGAACCCAAATTGTTTTTAGGCTTTTTTTCTTTTGCACATCATGTGACCACATGCATTAGCCCTTATTTAGCCAACAGAGGCATGAACTCAGGTTCTACAAATTCTCTCACCTACATTGAATCTTCATATCTTCTCATGCTGCTTCCACCTTCCTCAGCACTCAGTGGTAGATTATGATGGTCCCGGTCTTTAGAGAACTTAGTTTCTCTGGGGATATCACATCGTTACATATTCGACCAATTCACAGCACTTCTGGATATCTAATATTCTATTCACATTCCTTGACAGGAACTGGGGACAGGAAAGGTGACTAAAGCCTAGTGTATCCATAAGTTTCAAGCCCAATAAGAGAGACAGACATAACCACAGAATACAGTGGCATGCCATGTGGAAGATGTCCAAGGGGAAGTTCAGTATGGGGCATTAACCATCCAAAGTG